TAGAAATGTTAGACTTGGCCTCTATACAGATGGTTTCAATCCATTTAGTTGCTCTGCAATACCTTACTCTTGTTGGCCTGTTTTTCTTACAGTGTACAACCTTCCTTCTGAATTGTATATGAAGTCAGAGCATATATTTCTTTCCATGATAATTGCTGGACCTAAAAGTCCAGGAAAAAACATTGATGTCATGCTTAGGCCATTAATTGATGAATTTAAGGAATTGTGGACAAATGGGTTGAAACTTATGATAGTTTCAAACAACAGAATTTTATCATGAAAGCTACATTGCTATGGACTATAAGTGATTTTCCAGGTTATGGCATGTTATCTGGATGGAGTACGCATGGGAAGTTGTCATGCCCTTATTGCATGGAGAACACTAAGGCTTTTCAACTTCAATATGGGAGGAAAACATCATTTTTTGATTGTCATCGTCAATTTCTACCTCCTAAACATCCATTTCATAGAGATAAGAAAAATTTGTATCTCAATAGAGTTGAAAAAAGTCGCCCCCCCCAAGACTAGATGGTACTTTGATGGAAGAAATTGTTAATCAACTCCCTGACATAATCTTTGGCCAGCCACTTCGTAAACATTCAATTGTAGGATTTGGTGTTTTTCATAATTGGATGAAACGTAGTATATTTTGGGAATTGTCATACTGGAAGGATTTATTGATTCGTCATAACCTTGATGTCATGCATTGTGAGAAGAATTTTTTAGATAACATTAAAAATATTGTCATGGATGACAAGGGTTGTATGAAGGATAACACCAATGCTAGATTGGATTTACAACTGTATTGCAATAAATTTGAATTAAAATTGATACCTCAAGATGATTGAACAGCTATAAAACCCAATGCTACATATGTTCTTACTCGAGAGCAATGAGCTCTTATCTGTCAGTGACTAAAGGAATTGAGATTCCCATATAGGTATGCATACAACATAGCACGATGTGTTAACATGTAGGAACTTCGATTGTTTGGGATGAAAAGCCATGATTGTCATGTATTCATGTAGCGTCTCTTGCCAATTGCTTTTCGTGATTTCCTCATAGATGAAGTTTGGGGTCCCTTAACTGAGATGAGTAACTTTTTTAGAGCTTTAACTGCTTTGATTATTGTCACGCCCCAACCCCAAGGTCAAGACGTAACAAATGCCACACATCTATAGGAATGACCCCATAAATGTGTAAGGCTACCGCTGTTCAAAAAAAAAAAAAAAAATGTGTAAGGCTACCTAAACTAAACAACTTTTAGTGTCCAAATGCAATAAAATTAAATTCTATAGGAAACTCCATCTTTATTAACATGTATGAGAAGTTTTTCAAATCCAAAACACTTAATTCTCACTTCATAAAATCCAACATAAAATTTAATAACAACAAGTCATAGCAAATAGATCTTCAATTCTAATTATTCAACAATCCGGAATAACTTAAACTAAACCAAGGAACTACTCTAGAATCGTTGTGCCTCTCACTCCCAAATGCAACCCCAAATGCTTACTTGTCTGTACCTGAAATGAGATGAGATTTAAAAACATAAGCTAGACAGCTCAGTAAGAGTATACCCATCTAGTTCGATCAAGCATTGTATTTCAATGAAATAATAATTAAATAAAGTAAACGACTTTTCAAATAAGAAACCACATTCCAAACTAGATGAAAAGAAACAACAATTTCAAGTTCTTTAGGCTGCATCACACTCCAAGTATAGCATCACACTCCAAATATAGCATCACACTCCACATCACACTCCATGATAAGTAGATCCCGAGACTACTATCAATACCCTCAGTATACCCCTGAGGAACGGGTTAATTTATCCAGCCAACCAAGAACATGAAAACCCAATATCAGAAGAAAAATTATTTCCAATTTAATAAACCATACTCTTCGATAGAAAATAATCCACACTCAAAATGCTTGATCAACATTCATCTTATTTCATTATAAAATATTCTTATTCTTAAGACATAGTAACCAAATAAAAGTATATAAAATACGCTGAAAAGGTAAAATAAATTTCAATAAAACAAACCTTTTAAAAATAATACTAGAGGATATAACAACTTACCTCGAATAATTAATCATTTTTTCACTCGACGTTGCCTCTTGAATTATTTAAAACTTTCGTACTATGTTCTTTGTTAGAATTGAAAAGATCTACAAATCATAGGCCATATTGCTAGAATCGAATCCTAACATGGAATAGAGTTCCAAAAATTCTCTCAATTCCTCTTCCAATTCACATTCTTAAATATAAAGTTAGATCTAAGAACAAAACCATCACATAATTGGGAAACTTACCCTAAAATTTCCTCAATTTGACTAATCCAGCAATCTATTGGACGGAAGCCCCTTTCTTATGCTTCACAAATGGCGACAGCACTTCAGAGGTGGGCGGCAGCATTCCAGCCTTTTTTCCGCCAACCCCTCGTCCGTTTTCTATTTAGGTTTTAGTAAAAAAAAATGTATAATATTTGGTTAGTCCTTTCACTCTTGATTCCTTTATAGTTAAACCTCTTAATTCCCTCTCCTTACATTTAAATCCTTTAAGGGCTTAAATAAACTTATTTAAAAGTAATAAAATAAAATAAAATAAATGCCGGATATTACAATTATTCAAGTCAATAACATGGAGATGTGGGAGGAAAAAATTATTGAGACCATTTGCAAGCTAGAGAAAGTATTCCCACCAGTATTCTTTGACTCGATGGAGCATTTGGCTATCCATCTACCATATGAGGCAAAAGTTGGAGGACCTGTCCAATTTCGTTGGATGTATCCTTTTGAAAGGTATATTTCTTCTAATATATCTTTGCATTACAATAACATTCATGAGAATATTTAATAATTTAATGTTATTAATTAATTTTTTTATTTGTTTAACAGAAAAATGCATGACCTTAAGAAAACAGTGTTGAACAAAAATCATGTTGAAGCTTCAATTTGCGAGTCTAATATTCTTTCAGAAATTACCTTCTTTTGCTCGCATTATTTTGGATCTAACATAGAGACAAGATTGAATCGTCAACCAAGAAACATTGTCGACGTGAATGATGATATGGATAATTGTTTTTCTGTCTTTAAACATCGAGGTCAACCACTAGGTGGAGAAATGCATATGCATGCATTGTCACCCATAGAATTAAAGGCAGCAGAACTTTATGTTTTGCTTAATTGTGAAGAAGTTAATCCATGGATTGCATATGTTCTGTAGTTCTAACTTTCATTTGTTTAAGTTACTAGTGTGATTAGATTGTTTACTCCAACTTCTTCATGTAGCCTTTTTGATTATCAAGTATGTTCCGATCTATCAGAGGATCAAATTCAAATCAAACGGCAACTTGAATTTATTCCTTGGTTTAAGACAATGGTAAGTAATTTATTTTAATAATCTTTATTAGTAAAATCTCAATTTTTATATATTTTAGGATTAAATATTAAATATTTTTATAACAAATCTAGGTTCATAGTGGAAGATATGAGGTTGATTCTCACCTTTTGCCTTTTGTAACTGACCCAATCAATAACATTAGGGTATACAATGGTTATTGGGTTAATGGATTTCGGTTTCATACTATCGCATATGGACAAAATAAAAAGACCATGAATAGCAGTGTTTGTGTGAAGGAACCACTTTCAATGATGTCACGCCCTAGAACCCAAATCCGGGGACGTGGCAGACGCCGTGCACTCGTGAGAGGATCCCACAAATGCACAAGGCTCGAAACTTATCCAATTCACAATCTAATACCATCAAAATCTGAAGATCAAATTTTATAATTTGCTCTAATATCATAAATCTCCAAATAAAGTCGAATTTACAAGATCATGATCTATCTCTAAAATCTATGTCAAATTCAAAATGGCTAGCCTTCTAACTCGTCACTTCCCGTGGTTTCCCCGTCCTTGGTTTCGCTTCCTGAAATGGTGGACAAGGAAAACTATGAGATAAACTCAATAAGTAAAATATGGATTGCCCTTAATTAAACATATAGCATGCCAACAAATACAATTACGAAAAACGGATACAGTACGGGAACGAAATAGACGTCTCCTCTATAGGTCATGGCTAGTGTATTAAACTTCCCACTGGCAGGCTACACTATTTGCTGGTGTATAACCCCCACTAGCAGGGTTGAACAAACCGGTTCTATTAATAACATGTCGACATGTGCTAGCGTTTAACCCCCACTAGCAAGGTTATCAATAACATAACCACATCGGAGACAAAACAGGCAAAAGTTAACAGAAAAATCATAATTCACCAATCACTTTCAAATCATCAGGACAATCAATCAAACTTCAAGTAGGCATGCTCAATTTAATGAAAAGCATAAAAATTTCACTTCAAATCAATCATATTTACTTTTGTATAAAACGGATTTAGTCCCGTCACCACTTCAAAAACAAATCAAAATATACTTTTAAAAACTATACGAGCATTACCATAAATTTACTTACCTCACTCACATAAAACCGAAAACTCAATCTCAGTGCTAACTGACAGAACCATTGGGAACCTAATCAAAATATCCAAGAATTAATTCTATACTATCACAAATTCAAAGTGAAACTTCATTAGGACTATCCCTAATCCTGATGCTATTCTTATCAATCTCCACATTTGTTCTTATATCACAAACTAATCATTTAAATCCCGTTAATTGTTGACCCTTGGTGTGTGAACAGTACCCCGTGAACAGTTCCCCGTGAACAGTAACCACGACGTGAACAGTGACTCCCACTTCCAAAATTGGCAAAACCATAGCTTATTCTCATGGGATTTTCTCCAAAAATCACACAGCAGTCAATTAACACTCAAACACATAAATTCCACTTGAATTAATGCTTAAACTTTATCCTAAAGCTACCGGAATTATCCCCTAATTACTGTAGATTTTGGGACATCACAAGGCAGCAAACCAAATGGATAATTTCAAGCTTAAAGGGCTGCCACATACCAGAATTCTCCAGCTAAAACCGGAGCTGCAGTTAGGGAAGTTGCCGGCGGGAATTTGGAGAAGAAGCTCACGGGAAATCCACCCAAAAATTGAAGGAACAACACAAAATTAGAGTAAACCCAAGGCAATTAAAGCTGGAGAAGGGAGATTCATGGCTGTTCTTACCGGAAAATCAAAGCAATTCGCCCCCACAAAGCAGGAGCAGCCGGCGGTGACGAAGGAAGAAGCAGCAGCAGATCTGGATTTTCCAGCAGGGGGAGAAAGGTTTCAAGGCTCCAATCTTGTTCTTGGACCAGAAAAGAAGGATAAAATCAGGCTGCTTACCGGTTTCCTCAAGGCATGGCTGGGTTCCCCTTTTTTTTCTTTCGGGTGGCTGCAGCAAGGTCGGGAAGAGCAGAAGCACGCGGGGAAGAAGAAAGAAAGAAAGAAAAAAGAAAAGGAAAAGAAGTTGATCCTTATCCAATATTTTCCCCTTTTTAAGTCCCTCAACTTTCAGAATATTCACATTAGGCCCCAAAACAATCTTTCCTCACAAGTTAGTCCCTAACTTATATGATAAAATTCCCAAAATTTTGGGATATTACAAATGATGAATTAGATTATTATGGGAGTTTGAAGGAAATAATTAAACTTCAGTATTTTGACTCATATGTTCATCAATCAGTGATTTTGTTCAAGTGTGAATGATATGATATCAACAAAGGCACTGTGGTGCATCCGACATCTGGTATAAATGACATAAATCTTCGGTTTAAATTACAAATAGATGAACCATTCATATTGGCCAATCAAGCTCAATAAGTGTTTTATGCCCGTTACCCATCTCAAAATCCTTGTAGAAAATGGTGGTTTGCTGCATGTAAGATTAGAGTAAGAGCAATAATCGACACTTCATCGTTAAGTGATGGTGGAAATGTTTATTATCAAGACGATGATCTTTCTATGCCACAATTGGTGCAACCCTCGACTGTTTTAAATGATCATGTTTCACTAGCATCTCAAGGGGGAGAAGAAGTGGTGATTAGTGAGGTCATGCAACTGCCATATGTGACAGAGGAAGAATGTGTGGGTGAGGATGATGATGAAGAGGAAGAGTTTGATGGAACGGAAACATCTGAAGAAGAAGTTCCAAATTACTTAACCGAGAGTGATAGTGACTAAATGTATCTTATTTGATTTTTTTAATTAATTGAACAAGGGATGAAAGACTACTTATATTTTCTTTATTATGTGTTTCCATTAATGACTTTTATATTTATTTTTATATCAATATATCTACTATAATTCTTTATATTGATATTTATAGTGGAGTTATATTTATATATTATTATATTTATATTGATATATATATATCTACTATAATTCTTTATATTGATATTTATAGTG